AGCTCATTTTCACTACTCCAACAAAATGCCTGAGGCTTAGTAACTCTTCAAGAAGTGTCTGCTTAGAGTTCTGGAAATTCAAAGTTCCAGACTGGGCAGGTCCCATTGGTTTGGCCTCTGGTGAGGGCCTAGCAGTGGACAGTATTGCAATAACAGAAGTATGTGGGAGAGGAAGACATCACATCTTGAAACAGAAGGCTGGAGAACAGCTCAGGGGTCAGCCTGGCTCTTACAATGACCCACTCTGGGGACAACTCAGGGCTTCATGGGAATCACCTTAACCCCTTCCAAAGGCAGGTCCCATAATTCCCTTAGGTACTCCCATCAGGCCCCACTTCTCACAGGCCTCACCACCTCCCACATTGCCACACTGAGGACCATGCCTCCAATACATGGAACTTTGGGGGCTATACTTATACACCATATCCAAACCATAGCAATGGTGGCATGGGCCTGGACAACAAGAGCATAGCATTCACCCCAGAAAAGATCAAAATTCATAATATGGTTTTACTTTCATACCGCAGTAAAGTGGAAAAGTCGTTAAGTCAAACCACTGTAAGTCAGAGACCATCTGTACTCCCTCGGTGTGAAATACGGGAGGAGTACTAACACCCCTGTTGCTTAGTAACCAAGCCAGAGATGTGTCTAAATATGTCCCCCACTTCTTGACTTTGTGATGTTAGGCAAGTTACTCAACTTCTCCAAGCCTTGGTTTCTTCACCTATGAATTAGAGATAAATAGCAGAAAGGAAACTCAGTGGGTTGTCCGGGGAGTTAAACAAGAAAAGGCATAGAGTACAGCCTCAGTAAGCGTTTGCTTCAATACTGGCTCTTATAGTGTGAAAGAGCTAGGGATGGGGTGTCAGGGGACACCCACCTTCACAGTGTCTCTGGTAGGTGGTCATTCACACCCAACTGTGGGAGATTCAGACACACTGTGGGGCCTAGGCATCAGGGTCACAGCATACAGATGGCTCCACTGAGAGAGACCACTTCTGAGGATTAGAATTATCTCCACCTATGGAAATCACACCCCTCTCACACTTGTGCCCAGCACTCCAGAGTTAAATGATTTCAGGTCTCAGTAAAAACTAAAACAGGTCCTAGAAACTGCAGAAAGAGGTTGGATGAACTGATTCTAAGGCAAAGGCAAAGGCAAAGGCAAAGCCTTTCTGTACAGGTTAACAAGTCCTTCCCACAACTTAGCAACCCATGGGATCTCTTCATTCAGTCAACCTCTCCTTTGAGATAAAGTGAGATCCAACCCCAAGAAACCGGGAGTATCGTCCAAAAATGTGAAGAGACTCTGGGGCAAGATCAAGGTTTCTCCACCTCTTTTTAAAATTTGTTTACACATGTATAGATGGTAAAATTTATCATTTGGGGCATGCAGTTCTATGCATTTGGACAAATTTACATAGTCATGCAATTGCCACCACAACCAAGATACAGAATACGCTCACATCCTGGAGCCCTTGTGGGGCTCCCACCACTTCCAATCACCAACAACCCACTGATCTGATTTCTAGCCCTGTAATTCTGCCTTTTCTCAGAATGTCATATGAATGGAATCATCAAATACATAGCTGTTTTTATGTCTTGCTTCTTACACTTTACATAATTAATTTGAGATTAACTCATGCAGATGCATTTTATTAGGAGTTGGTTCTTTTGGAGGCTCAGTAGTGCTCCACTGTGCGCATCCATCCATTGGTTGGCAAACACATGGGTTGTTTCTGGATTTGGACAACTGTGAATAATAGACAAAAACACTGATACACGGGGCTATGTGAAGACACACATTCTCATTTCTCTTGAGTAAACATCTAGGGGAGGGATTGCTGGGTCATGTGATAAGTGTATTTCACCATACCAGCAATTTAAGAGGTTTTCAAAGTTTTTTTTTTTAAATCAATTTCTAATTATTTATTCCTGGCTAGTATATAAAAATAAAACTCATGGATTTGTATCTTATTCCCTAGTTAAATTCATTTACTGGATATAACAGCATATTTTTACGTTGCTTCAGGCATTCTGTGTAAACAATCATGCCATCTGAAAGAATTTTATTGCTTCATCTCTAATTTGTATTCCTTTTGTTTCCTTTTCCTGCCTTATTGCACTGACTAGACCCTCTGGTTAAATGCTGAATACAAAGAGTGAGAACAGATATCTTTGTTTTTGATAATCTAAGAGGAAAACATTCAGACACTAATCACTAAATATGATGTCACCTGTTGATTTTTTGCAGTGACCTTTAGCACACTGGGGAAGTTACTTTCTGTTTCTACTTTGCTGATAGCATCCATCATAAATTTATATTGAATTTCACTAAATGCTTTTCCTGCATCCATCAAAATCAATGTATTTTTTTTTTGTTTCTAGATCACTGATATGATGAATTAAACAATTTCCAAACATCAAACTAACCTTGCATTTCTGAGGCAAATCCTACTTCCCATGACACATTTTCTTTTTCATGTATTACTGGGTCCAATTTACTAGTTTTAAAGGACTTTTGTGTTTCTGAGAGATATGGGTCTGTCATTTCCTTATAATGTTTTTCGCTGATTCTTAGCATCAGAGAAATGCAGGTTTTCACATATTAAACCCAGACAGTCAATCCCAAGTGTATCTTCAGTACAACCAGAGATCTGAGAATGAATTGTAAGTTCTGACCCAGCCCTGGTAGTTCTTATTCCACTGCTCTCTTATTCACAGTTCTACAGCTGAAGAATGATCATGGTGACTTGGTAGACTTCTACAGTTGAGGAGAAATGCAGGCTGATGTTCAAGAGCAGTGAGAGTCAAGGAAAGACAGCATCACAGTCCCTAGGGTCTTTTCTTCTGAGTACCAGAAGTGCCACTGATCCATTGCCAGCTATGAATCCTTTCGTGATGAAAGGTTTTTTGTCTTGTTTTGTTTAGGGTCCTTAATTACCATAACTAAAAGACCATGAGTAAAAGCAATTCTTTTTCACTGATGACCACTCCAAAAAAGAAATTAAAATGAAGCGCCAATATGCCCATTAGATTTTCACTTGGGGGACTGGAGTGAGAACATATTTTTCTCAGGCTGAGAAATTACATTTCAAAGAACTGCACTCTTATGGAGAAGACTACAGAAAATCAGTGCTGACCAATTTAACTTTCTATGATAATGGGAATGCTCTCTATCTGTGGTTTTCAACAAGTAGCCACGGGTGGCTACTGAGTACTTGAAATGTGGTTAGTGTGATCATGAGATGCAATTTTAATTTCATTAAATTTTTTAAAAATTAAATTTAAATAACTCCATGTGGCCAGTGACTAGTTAAATGGATAATTTAACGATCAAGTGCCAATTTTGCCTCTTGAACATTCTTAGGAATAAAAGCCCTCACTAAGGAAAGAGAAAAGCTTGGGAATAGATTGTAACGTTAGAGATAGAAGCTTTCCTTGGAAGTCTACAGGTAGAACTGCCATGAGATGGCAGACTAGTGGAGTCTCTCTGCTTCTTCAATCATTTCTATTCTGACTCACTTTGGCATTATTACCATCATGCTGACAAAAGGACAATGTTGTCAATGGATGTCAACATCATTGTTTTCATTTGGAATTGATGCTCCTTGTGGTGCCCTGTGTTCTTGACTGTATACTCTCCGTGGGAGGCATCAAATTGAATATTCAACATGACTTCTCTGAGATTTGATTCCCACACATTGAATAAATGTGTTGGCTCTTGGGGGGTAGTAGTCTTCGGAAAGAAGACTCAAAAAGGAATCAAACTTCCTGTCTGTTTCTCATTTCCGGCAATGTAATTTCATTTTGTACCTTTCCTCTTACTAGCCAAGATGCATGATAAGAGCAATTAAACAGAAACAGTATGCTTTGGAGTAGCATTGAGCTTGACTGCATTTTTATGCATTTCTCTCAAAGGACCTTTGAAGTTAAATCGCTTACCAGCTATGAGAGATACTCCCAGTGAACACCGCTTAGAGATTCATCAAAATGACAAAACGGAGAAGTCTCCAGGGCAAGCAAGGGTCGGCAGACACTGTGCAGCCCTGGGTGCCTGGGAGTGCCTCACAAATGCCAGTGCCTTTGTTCTCCTCTGTTCTGGTGGAAATGATTAAGTGAATGCTCCCCACCGGTCTCTCTTTTCAATGCCACTCTTGACCCCGCGCCCCCACCCATTCACATCGGATCTTCCTGCTTCACTGGCCTTTCCGGGTGAGGAAGGGTCTCACCAGACCAAGAATGCACCTTTTCAGAAGAGGTCAGCAAGTGCTGGGGAGTAATGAGGACCAAGCTTGCCCCTTCCACTTTGACCGTTGATTTAAAGGCTATTCACTGGCTCCAGGATGCTGGGGAGGCTGCTCTCTGGGAACCGGGGAGTGACATGGTCCTCCATTCCCATAACCCATGCCCAGTCACCCCAGAGAATCAGCCACCAGCCACCGCCCCCTCCCACCCAGCTACCTGGTAACCAAAACAAGCCCCTTCTGTGTACACTTTCTGTAGCGTGTAATCGCCAACTGGTGACAGGGAAGCATGGAAAGGAAATGCATGGAGTGTGCATCAATGGAATTGTTCTAACAAGGGTTCTGAGGCTCTAACCTGCATGCCCAGAGTGAACTTCAGAGCACGGCCCAGGCCCGGAGGCTGGACTGTGCCCAGAGCTGTTCCATAAAGAAATCAGCATCTTCACCAGTGCTACACACACCACACCAGCCAGCCAGTGTGTGCTTCCTCACACCACAGGCAAAGCATCAATTAAGACGCCATTTGGGATGCCCACACCCCACACCAGAGTGCCTGAGTGTGAGCCCTGGCTCTGGTATTCACTGTAGCTTCCTGATAAAATGCACCCTGGAGGGCAGAAGGCAATGATACAAGCACTTGGGTCCCTGCCACCCATGTGAGTAACCTGGAGTCTTGGCCCCTGCCTTGAGCCTGGCCCAACCATTTGTTGCAGACATTTGGGCAGTGAATAGGCAGATGGATGGAAGACCTCCCACCATCTCTCCCACCCCCCCTTCCCTAGCTTGTCAAATAAAAGGAAAATAAATAAAATCAAACCACAGGCTCTCATAGTCCGGAGGTCTTGAAAATTCTTGGAAACTGGCCCTTTCTCACATGAAAACTTCCTCTTCAATTCCTACACAGATGGCTACCCAGGGCTAGAGACACCACTATTTCCCAGAATAGATCCGAAAGTGAACCAAAGAGTTCAAAGCAACGCTCATACCTTTCCCTGGACTTAATCCTTTTGGCTCCATACTCCATTTCCCTGGTTCTTTCTGTTGTGCCTCGCAGGACATGATTTTGAAGTGCTTCCCTGTCCTGGTCTCTCCTACAGTGGAGGTCAGTAAGGAAATGCAAGCTCAGTCACATCTACACGGATGTCATCATGTGTCTCTCAGTGGTTTACCCGGGATGAGGTACGAAGTACATAGAGAGTATGGACACAGGAGGTCAGGAGAAAGGGAGGGTGATAGCTTTACTGTCCCTGAAGCAGTACTTAGGGCATAGGGAGTTAGAATAGGGATGTATGGAGACAGGAACAAGCGCTTCAATCTTGGAAATAATTACAGAACGTGTTAGCATTAATCCTTGTAAGGCGGGAAGCCTTACGAGTCCTCCTTTATAATGAAAGAAATGGCTCCTGGAGATTAACTCATCTGCCCAAAGTCATATAGTCAATAGGCTAATAATGGATTTCCCCACGACTGCTAACTCAGAATGTCTTCCCTGGCCAATGACATATCCTAGAATTACACAACCTCTTAACGCCCAACCATGCTCTGTTTCAGTCTCTCAGAGCCTGCCAGTCACTCCAGTTTGGGCTGCTTTTTCTTGGCTCAGATCATTCCCTGTCATGACCTTTTATTCCTTCCTGATCCTTCCAGACTGGCCTGCTCTGGACTTGGATACCTTCCTAATCCCACAAACAAGCCTGTGTCCCCAGCTCTCCCTTCCCTATTCTGTGTCTACATTCCCATTGGCTCCCTGGAGAAAAGGGTAGATTCCAGCTCTGAGTCACTGAGTCTACGTGTCTTCTTCATTGCAAGTTCTGTGAAATGATTCTGGGTGATCAAAGAGGAAACTCAGCTCTTAAGAATTTAAGTCTCCGGATGCCATTACAGGAATTTAAATTCTCCAGATTTTTCCTGTTCAATGTTCGCATCTTTCCTCTTTTTTGAGTGTGGTTTTCCCAAAGAATCCAGTGTCCTGATGATGCTTCTTGAGCTGGCAGACAGAGAAATGAAAAATGGAATCAACATCCAATTATTTCAAGGCTCATTAAGTTGGCTTTTAGCACAGACCATTCTCAAATGCTACAACTTGAGCCAAATCTCCAGAGACCTCTGTACACTCTCCCATTTGTAACACAGGTCAGTTGGTTGGGAGCCACTAGAATGCTCACATCAGAACTGCACTGAGGCTGAATGTGGATACGGTATTCTCAATAAAGAACCTGGTTCTCACAAACTAAGGAATACTTCGTGTTTTTAACAACCGTTTATAAACTAGAGCCCCATGTGTTTCAGTTTCTGCAAATTACAGCATTCAAGTAAATAGAGTCCAACAACTATGGCGAATTAACAGAAATCCCCACAATTTCTTAAATTTTCTGAAAGACATCAAAGGAGAATCAATTTGTAGCCCACAGTAGTATTTTTAACATTTTTTCTTATATTATTTTCCATCTCAAAGCCAAAGTCCAAATTTCCTCAGTGATCCTCTCTGTATATTCCGTTGTCAATCTCCAATCCCAAATTCTTCCTCTAAAAACAAGCTGGCACAGAACTGCCCTTTCCTCTAGGTATCCCCTATCCAAAGCTCTTCTTAGAACCAATTAGGAACTCACTCTGTCCCTATTCAGGGAAGAATTCCCTGAGCTTTGTGCAGAGATCTGAAGGAAGAACCGGTTGCTCTCCCTAGAGAAAAGCACCAAGTTCAAAGGCCAAGAGTAAGAGTACGATGGGCAAATCAAGGGATAGCAAGATGGTAGGAGCTGGTGCAGGAAAGATGGGAGATGAGGTGTGTGGGCCAACAGGGCTCCAGTGTTTTGGAAATCTTTGCAGTGTTCTGAGCTGCAAAGAAGCAGCAGACTCTGGCTGCCACGTGGGAAACAGTTTGTAAGGGGTGTACAAGTGGAAACAGAACGACCCATTCAAAGGCCATTGTTACAGTTGAGGTAGGAGATAATCAGGCTTGAACAGGGGATAGTAATGGAGTTGTGAGTAGTTAAACTCTGGTACATGTTAAGGGTAGAATCAATAGGATTATCTTGATTTATTGTATGCTGTCCCAGGATGCAAGGTAGTTAATATCCTATAGGAAAACCTTCACTGACAGGGGATGAGAGCCCATAGATCAGTGTTTCCTCAGTCCCACCCTCTCCCCTGCCCCATTCTGCATTGCCTTAGAGAGATAGTCTGTGATATATTTAATATCTTTAATGAATCCATGTTTTCTTTACTTGAAGTAGTCATAGTGAATTATGTTGTTTGCAACCAAGAACTGTTTTCAATAAATTGCTTCCAAAAGTAACTGACTTCTAGTTTCCTGGGCCCTTGCCAACATTGGCTATTATCAATTAAATAAACAATCTAAAAAAAATGGAAACAAAAACATTCCTTCAGGTTCCAGCCTTATAAGACAAGAAAAGCAAGTAAATTCCTACAGAATATGGACAGTCAAGTTCACTCTTAACATTGTGAGCCACAAGATGGAATGGAATTCTCATATGGAGTCATAGCAATTAGGCTGGAAAATTATTCCCATCTTCTCATTACTTTCATCATTTTGTTTTATGGTTCTCATATCTCATGGGAAGCTTGGTAGAAAACCCATGATTTTGCAAAGTATGAAAGTTTCTGGTTGGTTGATTCAACTAGAGATTTTTCTGACATGCTAATGGATATCATGGATTCCTAATTGGCTAAGGATATGTCTCCTAAAGCATTCATCCAAATTATGTTGCCTCATTAACTGCTTCTCACACCTCTATCAAAGTACCTCAGGGTGAATCAGTGCCTCAGGGCTGTGATGGCAGAGTAAAAAGTGGTACAATTCAAGTTGAAAATGCCCTTGAAATTTTGTTTTCATCAAAACTTTAGCTTAAATTTTACATTTCACTGCCCCAAATGACAACCTACAAAGAGCTCACAACAGGAAATGATAGTGGGAAAGAGATGCCAACCAAACCACAGAAGGTGGAAAGCAAACTGAACACTCTCTGACCCAGCAGAGGCAAGGAAGTGAAGACCAAAAATGACTACAGAGAGGAACACTGAGCAAACAAATAAAAGTCCAGAAGACTTGAGGTGTACTATTCCAGGAACAGTCAACAGCTCGTGTGCCAGTATTTCTGAAAGTAGAATTGAGGATTAGGACAGAAAAGAGAAGAAACTGTTTGAATGCATGTAGGAAATATTCAGATCCTCCTTTCACCTGGGCTTCCAGGTCACTGTGACCCCCAAGCCCCAGTCCTAGAAACAGAAGAAAGGTTTACTTCCCAGGGGAGGGAGGGAGGAAGGAAGGAAGGAAGAAAAACAAAAACCAAGCTAAGAAATAGACCCATCACAGTACTGGACAGAAGCCATCCACCAGGAACAGAAGGGTTAAGACCCATTTTATATAACAAATATGACTACCTTGCTTCTGCCCTCATGCAACTCCCCAAATGCTGGCAAGGTACTGAGGTCCCTCGTGGCAGATCCAGATGGAGCTCCTGACTCCTGGCTTCAACCTGGCTCAGTCCTGGTTGCTGTGGTCATTTTGGGGGGTGAACCAGCAGATAGAAGATCTCTTTCCATTTCTCTCTCTCTAATAAAAAAAAAGAAAATAAATAAACAAAAATGTTGAAAAGTACATGTCTTCCAAAAAGTTTTTGAAGACCTCACATATAACCCTAGAAAAACTAAACTGACGCTGCAGAAAAAGCCCAAAGCAATTGAGGAGCACATGTGAGAAACCCAAGCCGTGCACCAGCTTGGTAGCAAGGGCAGGGCTGGGAACAAGGAGCCACAATGTAAACACTAAGGGGCAACCTGCAGAGAACTCAAAATCACTAACTGAGCTGACTAAAAGTTGGTGAGCTTTTATCATCACTGCGTGCAACAATTCTAAACAACTTCAGTGATAAAGGACGCCTCTTCCAAAATTTTTTCCTGGGTTTAAGTTCCAAGCAATTTCTGTGGATATTGGATATTACTGCCATGTATGTAAACTTCATATTAGCACATTTTTATTTTCTACCTAGAAGCTAATTCAGAAAACTTCCTATCACTCAGCCAGTTTCTCGCAGACAATCATGTCATTCTACTTTGCTTCAGCTCAGTTCATGGCTCCAAACCCTGTGGGACTACATCTTCCTGTGTTTAACCAGTGGATTCAAAAACAAATTATGACACAACCATGAAATCCATGCACAGCACAGCTTTTTCATAATATGCATATTCCATGACTTTTCTGAAGATCTCTTATATGTATGGATTTAAACATTTTTGCATTAGAGTTGTGGTGTAGCAGGTAAAGCCACTGCATGAGATGCTGGCATCCCATGTGGGCACTGGTTCAAGCCCCAGCTGCTCCACTTCCTATCCAGTTCCCTACTAATGCTCCTGGGAAAGCAGCAGAAGATGGCCCAAGTCCTGGGGCCCCTTCACTAATGTGGAAGACACAGGAGAAGCTCCTGGCTCCCAGTTTCATATCAGCCCAGTTCCAACCATTGTGGCCATTTGAGGAGTGAACGAGCAGTTGGAAGATCTCTCTCTCTCTCTCTCTCTCATTCTGTCTCTCCCCACCCCTCATAACTCAGCCTTTCAAATAAATAAATTTTTTAAAAACTTTTTGCACCAAAATATTTTTAATTCCACTTTCCATGAACTTTTTAAAATGTGTGTGTATGTATGTGTATGTGTATGTGTGCATATATATACACACACACACACACACACACACAAAGATGATCTGGATGTCAAAGATGTTAGATATACTCCTAATTGAACCCTATCAGTAGTCATCAGACACCTGAAATACAAAGACCAAAATTAACAAACCTAAAAGAAACTTGAAAAAAATAGAGAACATGCAGAGATGATAGGAAATTAAACCTCAGTGTAAAATACTCAGAGATAAAGAAGCATCACCTTGTTGAGTAGTAATAACAAGAACAGGATGTTCACTTCTTTTAAGAAACTAGCAGAACAAGAAAGAACTCTCGCATTTAAAAATATGAATGGAAAAATTTTAAAAATAGGGGGAAAAAAGAAGGTAAAGTTGAGAAAATCTTAATGGAAGAAGGCCAGAAAAACAATAACAAAATGGAAAATAGGACAGAAAATATTTTTATAAATAGAGGATCAATTTGGAAGGTCTGACCTCTGACTAATTGGAGTTCCAGAAAGAACACCAAGTAAACAAATGGAAGTAAAAAATCAGATAATATAGGAAATTTTTCCAGAACTAAAGGCCATGAATTTCCAAATAGAAATGGCCCACCAACTGCTCAGGACAATAAATGAAAAACAAACCACACCGTGGCAAACCACTATGAAATTTCTAAATATTAGGAATAAAGAAAAAAATATCCAAGAAATCCCAGACAGGAAAAACAGGCATACACTAAGGGCCTGGAGTTAGCAAGGCACTGGTTTTTATAAAACAACCCCAAAATGTTGAAAAGGGGCAGGGACTGCTAGCAGTATTCTAAAATTTTAAAATATTTTTAAGCTAGAATTCTATAGGCAAGAAAACCAACAGTTGGTATACCATGAAAATATTTTCTGATGGACAATGTCTCAAAAATATTCCCTGCTAGTTAGAAGGCAACCAGGGATGTGCTTCGGGGACACAGACAGTAGACAGAGAAAGAGGAATTCAAGACATGCAGAAAACGACAAATAAGGTCTCGGCAAAGATGTGAGAATTCCAAGAATAACAACAAAGGGAATACCCAGGGCAGTTCTCTGCAGCAGATGCTGAAAGACCTCCAGTTGAAATTAAAACAGTTAAATGGAATATTCCGGAAGCCATCTCTCCAAAGGGGCAGGGGGAATAGAACCAATTTCCAAAATCCTGTAGAATGTGGAAATTCATGTTGGTCCACAGTTCTCTGCAGATTTTTATTTTAAAACAGAGACCACTTGAACTCTGGGAAAAACAAGAAGCTGTACCGGAAAGAATGTATAATCATAGTAACCTGAAAGCAGTATTTATCTCATCCCAATAATGTCAACATCAAGTACTAATTTAACAAATGATTGTGCTGTAGCAGCATGGGGGAGGGGTGTGAGGCTGAAGACCAGTAGGGGTATTTGTGAATTACGTAAAAGAGTTAAACGTCTTTCCTTCATTTTGAAAGCCCATAATTATAAGAAGTGGCAGCAGCATTATATTATTCGGAAATCTACAGCTACATGTTAAGGAATAAAGCTAAAATAAATAAAAACAGCATGGAACAGCCATTTTGCTTTAAGTCTATTATTTGACTTTTTAAACTTCTGTTCATATTATTGCTTTTGACAATCTATGAAAACAAAACTCTCCTAGAAACTCCCAACCTTAACATGTGTTGAAAATTAGGATAAAGCTAAAACGTAAGATATGCACAGGACAACTCAGGGTTCAAACAAAACACCCCCGTAATTCAGTGCCACATCAGGAGTCTTGGCCACAGAAAGACATTGGAGGGAGGCAGATGAACACTTGTGGACCACCTGGTGCATGCTAGCACCATAGGGATTTTCAGAGATCACCGTGAGTACCACACAACCCCGTGAAAGGGAAAAGTCATATTATAGGGGTGCTTCAAAATGTTCACGGAAAACAGAATCAGAAGTTAAACCTGGGGCCGGCGCCATGGCTCAACAGGCTAATCCTCCGCCTTGCGGTGCCGGTACACGGGGTTCTAGTCCCGGTCGGGGCACCGGATTCTGTCCCGGTTGCCCCTCTTCCAGACCAGCTCTCTACTGTGGCCAGGGAGTGCAGTGGAGTGCTTGGGTCCTGCACCCCATGGGAGACCAGGCGAAGCACCTGGCTCCTGCCTTCGGATCAGCGCGCTGCACTGGCCGCAGCGCGCCGGCCACAGCGGCCATTGGAGGGTGAACCAACGGCAAAAAGGAATACCTTTCTCTCTGTTTCTCTCTCTCTCACTGTCCACTCTGCCTGTCAAAAAAAAAAAAAAAAGTTAAACCTGGGTGTTTAGCCCAGCAACTGAATTGCCCATAACCGACATTAGAGTACCTGGGTTCAATTATCAGCTCCGGCTCCTCACTCCAGCTTTCTCCTAATGCAGACACCAGGAGGCAGCAGCGATGGCTCTGGTGGGTTCCTGACATCCACGTGGGAGATCTGGATTGAGTTTCAGATTCCTAGACTCAGCCCTGGCCCAACCCCAGCCATTGCAGGCATCTGGGGCGAGAAGCAGCGGATGGAAACTCACAATCGCTCTCTCAGTCTCTATGCTGTTCAAATACTTCTTAAAAAAAAGTTAAGTTCATTTTGGTACAAAAATTTGTAATGCATGCATAGCTTTTTTTTTAATAATTTGCATTTTCCTGGAACTTTTTGAAGTCCCTCATACGGATAAAGGACGAAGTCTCTAAAGGAAGAAGAGCTCAGTGGCGAACATTGTCCCTGTTTCCAGTGTGGGACTCAAGAAGACTGTGGACAGAAACTAACAACTGATTCTTATCAGAACCCAGCGAGAACTGTGGAGCCATTTTACAGATGTGAACACTAAGGATCAGCAAGTTCAAGTCACTCGACCTTGTCGTACAAAGCAGCAGAGCTGCCATGAGGGCCTGGCCTCCAATATAACCTTTGTGTCTTTGCCTTGGTAGCCCAGCACTGGCACGTTGGCCCCACAGGAAAAGCCCATCCATCATCTTCTGACTGTAGCTGGCAAGACCTTCAGCAGATCTTACCCGGTTCACAGCCTGGGCAAGCTCCCAACAGAGCATTGCCACGCGTGTCCTGCACCGGCTGTCAGGATACAGCAGCCACAGAGGGAGGGCCATCCAAGAAGACAACGGGGACCCACTTGGCTCACCTTCAAGTGGTCCCAGGTCATTCACAGCTCTTGGACACTGAAAGGTCACACTCACACGTCACGTTACAACACCACAGCAACTTCAGGCTCCAAAAATAGCCAAATCAAAGCTTTAGGGCCAAAAAAAAAATTGTGGAAACAATTTTGGAGGCCACAGAACTTTTGAAAATGTCATTAACAAACTGTGAAATCAGGGAGATAAAAATCAGATGCCCCGCGGGGAAACAGCAGTACCCTCAGTGGGCGCCCTCACCCTGAGTCATGGGGAGACCAGTTTCCATTCCGCAGGTCCAGGAGGCCTGGGGGTGGGGGTGGGGTGCAGCTCTGATGCCCGTCTCCTGCTCCACGCCGACTCCCAGGGAGGCAGCGTTGGGAAAGCACGGGATGAGTGAACTCTCCCACATGCAAAGTGGGACCTGCTGGGGAGAAAGAAGAGAAGACGAAGACATGGCAAAAGGTCCATGGAAGATGAAATTCAAAGATAAGCTTACTTTTGTGCACAACTTCAAATCCCATGCATAAATTCTTCATAATACGCATTTTCCATGACCATTTCGAAGATGCCTCCCAGGCACAGAAGTAGCACGTGGAAAGCCAGTGCTCTGGGAGGCAAGGGGCGCTCTGCAGAGAATCATGGGAAAGTGAGTTCATTCTCCAGGCTTCCCTTGGCTGTTTCCATGCCTCTGGGCAGGAGTCAGAATTACAGAGCCTATCTATCCCCAGGGCTACCACAATAATCAATTTAAACTTATTTCCAAGGGGAAAGTACTTGTGGGGATTAAGGACTGTTGAGTATTCACAGAGAGACAGGTAGAATACAAAGTATTTCTTCAAAAAGATCCTCTTTGTCCTCTAAGAAATTCACGGTCATCGACATGTTAGTAGGATTTGTTTTCTGCTCTTGATCCAAAAAAAAAAAAAAATTCAGGGTTATGTAGATTAAGTACTCGCAGAGGTGCTTCGTGGGACTTGAGAAATAATAAAATGGTATCTAGAAAAATATATCTGGGCCGGCGCCGCGGCTCACTAGGCTAATCCTCCGCCTAGCGGCGCCGGCACACCGGGTTCTAGTCCCGGTCGGGGTGCCGGATTCTGTCCCGGTTGCCCCTCTTCCAGGCCAGCTCTCTGCTGTGGCCAGGGAGTGCAGTGGAGGATGGCCCAAGTGCTTGGGTCCTGCACCCCATGGGAGACCAGGCGAAGCACCTGGCTCCTGCCTTCGGATCAGCGCGCTGCACCGGCCACAGCGCGCCGGCCACAGCGGCCATTGGAGGGTGAACCAACAGCAAAGGAAGACCTTTCTCTCTGTCTCTCTCTCACTGTCCACTCTGCCTGTCAAAAAAAAAAAAAAAGAAAAGAAAAATATATCTGACCCCAACTCTGTGGCAGGGTGATAACCCACCCTGATTCTCTGCCCCAAGGTCAAGTTGAGAAGTGAGGGAGCCTGGGCCAGGGGGTGGGGAGTGGTGTGCATGTTAACCTGCCACTGTGCTCTGAGCATGTGTAATTTGAGGAGGCTGAAGGCCTGGGGTTCAGGAAACAGACACCTAATGCCACCACCACCACCACCCACATCAGTAAATGACAACACTCAAGTCCCAAGCAACGGAATTGAGGAATAAGGAAAGAGTGCAGGCCCAGGGACGCTCACGTCCAGGGCACGGGCCAGTTTTCCCCTAATACACAAATGGTGCCCGGACCACTGGCTGACAGCTCAGAGGACGACCTACCGCAGGCCCTCTGGAATTCATATTCCAAGTTCAGACTCTGCTCTCTCAGCCCTCAGAGGCCGGAAACTGCAAGGAGAGAAGGGTGTTTATAATTCCAAGGTGGGAATTCAACACTGAGGATCCACCACAACACCAGGAGCCAGCAAGGCCACCTACCTGCATGCCCATGCCGTTGGAAGTCCATCAAAGTCCAACCCACGCTGAACCACAGAAATGCGCATCGTAAAACTCCATCATCCTTGACACAAGCATCTCTCAATTTAGCAGCATGTGAAGAGCAACTACTCTTTAGCAGGGTTCAGTAGGAGGGGGACTTCAAAAGGTTCCTAAGCGGGCTGGCGTGGTGGCCTAGTGGATTAAGCTGTGGCCTGTGATGCCAGCATCCTATATAGATGCCCATTCAAGTCCCAGCTACTCCACTTCTGATCCAGCTCCCTGTGGATGCGCCTGGGAAATCAGCAGAGGATGACCCAAGTCCTTGGGCCCCTTCACCCATGTGGGAGACCAGGAAGAGGCACCTGGCTCCTGGCTTCAGCTTGGCCCAGTCCTGGCCATTGTAGCCATTTGGGGAATGAAACAACGGATGGATAATTCTCTCTCTCTCTCTCTCTCTCTCTCTCTCTCTCTCTCTCTCTGCCTCTCCTTCTCTCTGTGTAACTCTCTCAAGCAAATAAACAAATCTTAAAAAAAAAAAAAAAAAAAAGCCAGGTACCAAAGGGTGTGATAATGATCACAATTAACTTTCAAGTAACTTTTTGCTTTTTCTGGAGCAACCACTGTTGTAATCCTAATTCACTCAATTAGTATCACAATAACCCTGAGACACATCACTAGTACTTCATCTAGGATTATGATTTGCATTGAGAGTTACGTAAGTATTCCAGCTTTCTTTACAATAAACATGTATCCTCATAACAAAGGAAAGTTGACTGCTGTGTGTGTATTTTATAGTGATTTCAATGGTGGAAATGTTATATCAATAGATATTAGTATTTAGTGAGTTCCTGGTTATTCAGTCTAGGTTTGTGTGGGATTTTTCAAACATGATCATTTTTTAAAAGATTTACTTATTTATTTGAAAGACAGAGTTACAGAGAAAGTTACAGGGTTACAGAGGGAGGTTTCCACCCCCAGGCTCACTCCCCAAGCAACGGTCAGGGCTGAGCCAAGTCAAAGCCAGGAGCCAGGAATTCTATCTGCATCTCCCACATGAGTGGCAGGGGTCCAAGTACTCTGTCCTGTCTTTTGCCACTTCCCAGGTTATCAGCAGGAAGTTGGACTGGAAGCTGAACAGCCAGGACCCAGACTGGTACTCAGATACGGCATGCCAGCCTCTCGGGCTGTGGCTTATCTCACTGCACAGCAATGTCGGCCCCACGACCGGTCATTTTGTTCAGCAGTTTTCAATCTTTTGTTCTTGTCAAGCCAGATAAGTTCACAAGCAAGAATCAGCTTCATGGAGGCCCCCTGAGTAATACACTATTCCCTCGACCTTAGTGTAACCGAACCTCTTCCCCCTTCACCACCCACTTTCAAAGACACTGCAATCTAAATGAAAGTCATAAATATTAAAAAGATAAGTTTGGGGGCCAGCGCTGTGCCATAGTAGGTTAAGCCTCCACTTGTGGCATTGACATTCCATACAGGTGCCTGTTCGGGTCCTGGCTGCTCCACTTCCAATCCAGCTCTCCGCTGACAGCCTGGGAAAACAGGGAAAGATGGCCCAAGTGCTTGGGCCCCTACGCTCACATGGGAGACCCGGAAGAAGCTGCTGGTTCCTGGCTTTGCATCGGCTCAGCTCCAGCCATTGTGGTCACTTCAGGGCTAAACCAGCAGATGAAAGACCTCTCTCTCTGTCTCTCCCTCTCACTCTCTGTAAATAAATAATCTTTGAAAAAATGTTTAAAAAGGGATAACTGGGCCAGCGCTGCGGCTCACTAGGCTAATTCTCCGCCTGCGGTGCCGGCACACGGGGTTCTAGTCCCGGTCGGGGTGCCAGATTCTGTCCCGGTTGCCCCTCTTCCAGGCCAGCTATCTGCTGTGGCCAGGGAGTGCAGTGGAGGATGGCCCAAGTGCTTGGGCCCTGCACCCGCATGGGAGACCAGGAGGAAGCACCTGGCTCCTGGCTTCGGATCAGCGCAGTGCCAGCAGTAGCGGCCATTTGGAGGGTGAACCAACGGAAAAAGGAAGACCTTTCTCTCTGTCTCTCTCTCTCTCACTGTCCACTCTACCTGTCAAAAATAAAATAAAATAACTGAATATGTTCTAGTTTTCTCTGTGAAATTTTGCAAATGGATTATTCTTAACTAGTACACCTACTGCATCCTAACAAATCATCTGCAACACCTCTCGGATGGATGGAGGCTCACCACTGGCCCCTACACCAAACTGACAGCCTCTGATTTCAATGCTTACACAAATCATATTACTGGATGACACTGATTTCTTTTCATTTCAACACTTCATAAAGGAGTGCTCTCATTTAGATTTATTTTCTTCACAAGTTTAACCACCAATTTGGTTGTGTTGTCCAACAATTTACATCTATGTGAATGTACTCAATGAAGCAAAGAGAACAGAGGTGACGGTGGCTCCCTGCAAAAGATCACTGGGGAACATTTCAGGGGATCCTGCTGGTGCCATAGCATCACCCTCATGGCTGGAGAACCACACAGCTCTCCCTGCCATGGGCACAGAGTTCTGACTACACACGGTGGAAGATGAACCAACCACATCCAATTTAAGACAAAAGCTCAGATTGAGACTTCAGCTCCTGAAGCTCCTCCATGAACACTTAGCGAGCTCCATCGTACTGGAATTCCACCAGAGACAGTCACATTCAATTACTGTAACTCCAAAAGAAATATCTATTTTTATTTTTTTAAGAACATAAAGAGGACTCCCATCATAACATGAGTCTTATTAAGTGGAATTGGATATGCCTTGGCTTCAACTGCGTCTTCTGAATCATGAACACTGGAAATGGAAAGGAATTAGAGTTTACATAGTCCAAGCTTGTCACTTAGCAGATGAGGAAAAAGATGCTCAGAGAAACTGAATGATCTGGCCAGGACCACACAGAAGTGAGGACCAGAACCAGCAAGCCTTACCCTGAGTTCAGTGCTCTGTCCACACACTAGACTAAACCAACTGCCAAGGACAGTGGTCTCAGCTGGCCACACATGGACCCAAGAGAAGACACAGGAACCATCTTCCACAATTGCACCAAATGCCTTGTGCCTCCCACAGCTGCAGAGCTAGGCTAGGAGAAAACCCACACAGCCAACAGAAATGATAAAGTGGCTTGGGGCTGGGTGCTACCCTGGATTCCAACCCTGAGAAGGGAAATTTCGAAGGATCATAGAAACAACAGAGAAAGAGAAGAACAGAATGAAATTTTAGCATATGCAAAAACTTCAAGAAAGGAAACAGTTCAGAAGTATCTAAGAATCAAGCCTATACCTTTTAAATATTACCTTCAATAACAACTATTATCAGAGGACGTGTATGTCTTTGCAAATTTTTATTCAAGTTCTAAACAAGAGAAAATTCAGGGCACAATTATGTTCTTGACTTACACCCTCGCCTGCACCTGAGCTGTGCTCGCTTGAACTGATCAACTGGTTTAAAAAAAAAAAAAATTTTACCTTCCATTCCATCCCCATCAAAGGCCAAAAAGCATATGACAGGAATAGTTTCTTTAAAAATACAAAGTTGGGGCTGGTGCAGTGATGTAGTGGGCTAAGCCTCCACCTGTGGCACTGGCATCTCATATGGGCACCGGTTCTAGTCCTGGCTGCTCCTCCTCTCATCCAGCTCTCTGCTACGGCCTGGGAAAGCAGTGGAGGATGGCCCAAGTGCTTGAGCTCCTGCACATGGGAAACTGGGAGGAAGCTTCTGGTTCCTGGCTTCAGGTTGGCCCAGCTCTAGCTCTTGAGGCCATTTGGGGAGTGAACCAGGGGATGGAAGACCTTTCTTTCCCTCTCTCGGTCTGTAGCTCTACCTCTCATGTAAATAAATAAAATAATATATAAAAAATGCAAGGCTGGCAATCGTTATCAGCTCTAGGGTAACCATAAGCAATACATTAGTGCCTCTGAGAGTATATTTAGATGTGGAAATACAACCTAGACTTGATGGCAACTGAATAAAATACTGTTTTTCTGCCTATAACTATTTGTCACAAGCTAATAACCAACCACTGGCTTTTATATACACTGCAGGTGACGATGGACAGACCAGGTTTATCTAACAAAATGGTTCCCCCTCTTCTGAGGACAAGCCTGCGTTCCCCAGGTAGCCACGCCTTGGAAAGCCTCCTCACCCCACTGACCAGTCTTCTGCATGCCATTCACACCTCTGGCTTTGGAGTCTGTCCTGGTTTTATAATTTTAGCTACTCTTCTTGCCTCAACTTCCTGGTTATCTGTTCCTCAGACTCCTACACATAATGTTACATCACATGCCAATCAGCTTACAGAGAAACATTGTTTCAATTAGCATGATTGGCCATCTTTTAGGGAAGGGCTCAAAATCCTCATCCCAATGCTCCTATTGGCTGTGCCACCTGGGCCGGATTCTTTCCCTCTGATCCTCTGCTCTCCCATTTGTGAAATAATGCAGGTAGTGACTAGGTCATCTCTGACCCTGCCACTCCACTACCTGGCCCTGGAAGAAAGTATGGAGCAGTGGTTTAAGCTACAACCTGTGAAACCAGCATCCCTTGTGGGCACCAGTTCGAGTCCCAGATGCTCTGCTTCCAATCCAGCTCCCTGCTAATGCTCCTGGCAAAGAAGCAGAAGATAGCACTTGCCATTGCAGCCATCTGTGGAGTGAACCAGCAGATGGAAGACCTCTCTCTCTCTCTCTCTCTCTCTTGCTGTATGTGCATGTGTGTGTGTGTGTGTGTATATATGTATATGTGTCCCTCTACCTCTGTAACTCTGCCTTTCAAATAAATCAATCCTTAAAAACATAAAAATGTTTAAAGTGTCTGTACAGAGGAATGGAATGGATATTTCTTAACTTGAAAACCATTAGCTATGAGAATATTACAAGAGGCTCCTGTGGAAAGGCATGGAAACCCTTAAGTAACGATAAAGAAGCCGGCTGGGCAGAACCACGAAGGTATCTGCAGGGATGTCTGTGTGAGGCTCCGGGACTCCTCACACAAGCATCAACACATCAGTGTGCACTGCGGTGTGCCTTTCCCGTGGGGAGCACTGAGATCTCTGCACAACTTTGACCAAGAGTTGGCGTTCCTTCCCCAGATGTCGCGCCATGCTGGGATGCATCACAGATTTGAATGCATCCTCTACAGGATTCAGGAAGTGTTGTTTGGCCAGATACAAACTTCACTCGTGTAATCTAATTCTTAACTCCTACTCGCTAGGGGCAGACATGCTATGCATTTGGAATTCTGATTCCTCGTAGTCTGGCAGCTCTGCTCACCATCTGCAGGGCCAGCCGCCTTCACGCTTCTCCACCCAACAGACCTGCTCTAGTTCAGGTTCCCAGTGTGGCGCATGATGCTTCTGGGCCCCCGCTGTCCA